CCCCAGGAATCGGGCCCCGCTCTTGCTAAAGCCGGCCCTGGGGATGGGGGAGGGGGTACAGAGCCACATGGGGATGGGGGTGTGGTGCAGAGCCACAGGGGGATGGGGGAGTGGGTGTCTGAGTGGGGGTGGAGGGACACATGTGGACAGGGGGTGCAAGGACACATGGGGATGCAGGGACACATAGGGACAGGGGAAGATGTGCCTGACTGAATGGAGGAAGCTAGGGGTCAGACAGGGTCTGCCTGGGGGACGCTCCCTAACAATCCTTCCCCCCCGCCCCCCAAAAAAGACCCTTTTCCCACCCATACCCAAAACCACATTAAGTTCATACCCAGGCTCCTTCCCAGCAATTACTTCCCTCTCTGAGCTCCTCTGCTACCCGACTCCCCCAAGCCTTTGCCCTGCTTCTGAGGGGTGTGGGAAATATGGTTCTGTACTGTAGTTTAAATGAATTATTACTCAGAGTTTAATATTAATATGCCTAGTAAGAAATCTATTTGTCAAAAAACATTTCCTACATCTTTTTTGTTCTCTGTATTGTTACAGACATACTTACTCACAGGTATTTTGAAATAAAGTACTAAAATAATTGAAACTGATGGATTATATTGTGTTATTTTGACAAATAAAATATGAAGATTTTTGCAGAATTTTAAAATATTGTGTGCAGAGTTTTTAATTTTTTGGTGCAGAATTCCCCCAGGAGTACTAGAAGCCTAGTGCACAGCTCTGTTTCTCTAGTGGTCTGTGTCTCTGCTGTACGGAGGAGCAGAAACTCAATAGGGCACACTGTAAAACCAAAGAGTAGAGAACAACAGAGGTGATCAGGAATTCCTCTATTCTCCCAACAACATCAGAGCCCATTGCAGTGCCCATACTTCCATCGGATTGGGGGCCTGTCCCTCCAGAATGCATTAATCCTGCTCAATCTTGGGTAACCCTCAAGAGCAATATGTGGCAAATTCTCCTCACACTCCAAGGATAAGCATGGCTTCTAGCAGTACTTCAGGCCCTTAATAACCCAAGCTGCTCAGGCTTGAAAGTCAGATCACCTCCGGGGCGTGCCCACTTCATTCAGTTCTATGATATTAGGAGACATAAAACATACCAAACTGGTTCACTTTCCTTCGAAGCTGTTTCAGCTTCTCTTCCAGTTTCTCAGGGAGAATCTCAATTTTGCACCCATCAATAACAAATGCAACACAATGAATCTGATCCTTCAGAGCAGGCATCTTGATATAGCCTGGAGAATCTGGATGAGGGGTGGCAGCTGGATTAAACTGCAAAGAATTTTTTTTATAATAATAAGTAGCACTTCCAAAGAACTGGAGATTCAAAGAGCTGTATAAATACTGATTCTCACAATACCCCTCTGGAACAGGGAGACAAGTATTATTATCTCATTTTACAGAGAAATACTGATGTGCAGAGAGGGGAAATGATTTACACACACTCATAGATGGAGTGATCAAATCAGGATTAAAATTCAGGATTTCCCAATTCTCAGTCTCATACTAATTTTTCCAGATGGAGAGCCAGATTCTGATCTCTGTTATTGTAAACATGTGTAAATCCAGAGTCACTCCTTTGAAGTCAACAGAGTTCCTCTGAATTTATATTCCTTGTGGAAAAGTAATAAAGAAACCAAAAGACATCTCTAGAAATTAAAAAGGATTTTTGACATATTACTTGTGTGTATGTTTTTAATCACACTTTTTATTAAGGTTCCATCTATAAAGCATTAATAAATTATTAACAGATGTTTTAATAAATGGTTAATTTATTATTATGATTGTTGTAAAGTCCATCAAAAATTTACTCATAACTCATAACTATGGCTTATAACCATCTGTAACATCTACTCATGTGCTTAAAGCCATCTGTACGCGTGCTGCTCAGAACTGTAACATGCTTTTAACATTCTTCATTTATTACTTCTTTGTAAACCATTTATAGATGGAATTTTAATATAAAGTGGGACCAAATAAATCACAGGAAAATTGGTCTTGTGGTTAAAGCATAAAACTGAGACTTGGGATATCTGGCTTCCAATATATCTTTGACCAAGATAATTAATCACTGTTCCTCAGTTTCATATTTTTAAAATGGGATTAATAAAACTTTATATCTCACTGGTTTGTTGTGAGGATAAATTAAGGTTTGTGAGGGGCCGAGATACTACACTGATGAGAATCATACAACGACCTTAGCCCTCCATTTTTGCTTCTTCTGTAACAAGCTCAGTTCATCTGGAATGAAGAATCAAAGTCTACATCTCTTGCATATTACAATAGTTAATATTTGGAATGGTCTGTAGGCGGCAGCTATCTAGTAATCGAGACAAATGACCAGATGAGAAGGCGCTGTACTAAGCTTGAATATGGTAGAAGTTGCTCTTTTCTAGAGCTGGTCAAAAATGTTTTAAAACTATGTTTTCAAAAAATTCAAAATGTCAACGTTGTTTCTGTTTCACCAAACTAACCCATTCTTCATTTTTCATCAGAAAAAAAATATTTAAAAATCCTCATTTCCTGAAAACCAGGTTTCCAGTAAAAAAATAAATTAGAGAATCATTTCAATAATGGAATCGATGACATTTTTGCTAAAAAAATCTTGGAAACAATTTAATGAAAAACAAAAAAATTCAAGACACAACAGAAATTTGGGGGAGATGTGGTGTTAAAGTCCATTTTTCTATTTAAAACTTTTTTGTTCAAAATATTTCAACCAGCTCCAATCTTTATATACCTTGAGCCTGATTCTCCCTTAGCTTGTACCTGTACAAAATAGGTACCAAACGCTACCTGGGCAGAAGGGTAGACAGCAATTTAAATCAACTTTGCATAACTGTAAATGCCTACACAAGGTGCAGGAGAGTGGAGAATCAGGCCTAAACACCTTTCCATAGTTTATTTATTTTCAAATACACCTTACCTGTGATCACCTCACCTGTGATCACCATTCATAAGCTTTTACTGTACAAATACAAGAATCTACTGAGCACAGTGGGTATTTTGTTCCACAGTAATTAAATGTAAGATATAATATTTGTACATGTAAAGAAACATTTAAGGATATCACTGGGTCTAATAAGGAACTGCACAGAATTTGTAGAAATCCTACCTGGTACCTATCAGGAAATGGCCTTTTATTATGTTGGACATTCATCAATTTCCAGACCCACTCCTGAGTTTTCTTCTATTCCCATTGTGTCACAGAGGCTTGCCATCTCTTCCATCTTTAACTGGGTAAGTCCTGTACTATTGGGGCAAAAAAAATATGTAAAATAGTATAGAAAGACATAGCTGAAAAATGAATATTTAGAGCCAGATTACTATTTCTTAACCACATTGAGTAATACCTTTCTCGTCACAAGTAGATGCATGGAATTCAGTGGGGGCAATCATAGACCATCTTTGGATTTTCCATTTAGTTGGGGGGGAGGAAATGTGGATTTTTAACTAAGAGACTGTGATTTAGCTTGGATGTTGTTTAATTAGAAGCAAATATTTACCTGTGTTGTCATGCTAGCATTATCAGATCCCACTACGGCTTGGCTTGTCACATAACCTCAGAAAACTGAATTCTAACAGAAGTATTGGGAGCATAAGCTTTCGTGTATGGAGATAACGAGGTTAGTTCAAATCAGGGAGGGTGAGGTGCTCTGCTAGCAGTTGAGGTGTGAACACGAAGGGAGGAGAAACTGCTTCTGTAGTTGGATAGCCATTCACAGTCTTTGTTTAATCCTGATCTGATGGTGTCAGATTTGCAAATGAACTGGAGCTCAGCAGTTTCTCTTTGGAGTCGCTCCAAACTGAGCTCCAGTTCATTTGCAAATCTGACACCATCAGATCAGGATTAAACAAAGACTGTGAATGGCTATCCAACTACAGAAGCAGTTTCTCCTCCCTTCGTGTTCACACCTCAACTGCTAGCAGAGCACCTCACCCTCCCTGATTTGAACTAACCTCGTTATCGCCATACTGATTTATACCTGCCTCTGGAGATTTCCATTACTTGCATCTGAAGAAGTGAGGTTCTTACCCACGAAAGCTTATGCTCCCAATACTTCTGTTAGTCTTAAAGGTGCCACAGGACCCTCTGTTGCTTTTAACTGTGGTATGTAACCTATCATTTAAATCAGCTTCTGTACCAGATGACTGAAGGATAGATAATGTAACACCAATTTTTAAAAAAGGCTCCAGAGGCGATCCTGGCAATTATAGGCCGGTAAGCCTAACTTCAGTACCAGGCAGATTGATTGAAATGATAATAAAGAACAGAATTATCTAGAAACATAGATGGACATGATATGTTGGAGAAGAGTTAACATGGCTTTTGTAAAGGGAAATCATGCCTCACCAATCTATTAGAATTCTTTGAGGGGATCAACAAACATGTGGACAAGGGTGATCCAGTGGATATAGTATACTTAGATTTTCAGAAAGCCCTTGACAAGGTCCCTCCCAAAGGCTCTTAAGTAAAGTAAGCAGTTATGGGATAATAAGGAAGGTCCTGTCGTGGATCAGTGACTGGTTAAAAGATGGGAAACAAAGGACAGGAATAAATGGTCAGTTTTCAGAATGGAGAGAGGTAAACAGGGGTTCCTCCAAGGATTTATACTTGAATCAGAGCTGTTCAACACATTCATAAATGATCTGGAAAAGGGGATAAACAGTGGGAGTCAAAGTTTGCTGATTCTCACAAAAGGAATCTCACAAAAATGGGTGACTATGCAACAAAATGGGAGATGAAATTCAATGTTGAATATAATCCCAACTATACATACAAAATGATGGGGTCTAAATTAGCTGTTACCACTCAAGAAGGAGATCTTGGAGTCATTGTGCTCTGAAAACATCCACTCAATGTGCAGCAGCAGTCAAAAAAGCTAACAGGATGTTAGAAACCATTAGGAAATGGATAGAGAACAAGACAGAAAATATAGTGATACATCTATATAAATCCATGGTACGCCCACACCTTGAATACTCTGTGCAGATCTGGTCACCCCATCTCTAAAAAGATATATTGGAATTGGAAAAAGCACAGAGAAGGGCAACTAAAATTAGGGGTATGGAACAACTTCCGTATGAGGAGAGATTAAAAAAGATTGGGACTTTACAGATTGGAAAAGAGACGACTAAGGGGGGATATGATAGAGGTCTATAAAATCTTCACTGACGTATAGAAAGTGAATCAGGATGTGTTATTTACTCCTTCTCATAACACAAGAACTAGGGGGTCACCCAATGAAATTAATAGGCAGCAGGTTTAAAACAAACAACAAGAAGTACTTTTTCACACATCGCACAGTCAACCTGTGGAACTCTTTGCCAGGAGATGTTGTGAAGGCCAAAACTATAATAGGATTCAAAAAAGAAGTTAATGGTGGATAGGTCCATCAGTGAATATTAGCCAGGATGGACAGGGATGCAACACCATGCTCTGAGTGAACCTAGCCTCTGGGTGCCAGAAGCTGGGAGTAGATGACAGGGGCTGGATCATTTGATGTTAGTGTGTTCTGTTCATTCCCTCTGAAGCGCCTGGCATTGGCCACTGTCAGAAGACAGGATGTTGGGCTAGATGGACCGTTGGTCTGACCCAGTATGGCCATTCTTATGTTCTTATGTACATAGTCTACTGAGGACCGTTGCAGCAGCGAGAGTGACCAGGGTTGATGGTGTCACACCAGGCATCATGTTGTGAAGTTCCTAGCTATGGCTCATTCCTGTGAATCCATAAATCTCCAGGGTAGTCACATAGACACATCAGGTAGAATCAAGGCATGGACCCCTTCACATGACAATGTAGAGTTTGAGAGCATCCTGGTAACATGGCCAAAGAGCATGCAATGGTGCTTTTGAATATAGTGAGCAACTGAAGAACAGACAGATTTCTTTGAGAGTATGACCTTCACACAAAGTCAAACCACTTTATGCTCAGGATTTGGTGCTGATATCACATATGGAATGGATATTTAACTATGGTGTCCTCTATTTTGGGTGCCCAATTTCAAGCACCTAGGACCTGGTTTTCAGAAAATGCAGAGTACCTACAGTTCCTATTGAAGCCAATGGGAGATTCAGGTTCACAGCCCATGTAAAAATCTGCCCTAAGGTGTCTCAATCTGTGTACCCTAAATGAGTGTTCATCTTTAAAAATTTTGAAAACATATTAAACCAATGCTGCCTAAAATAGTTGCTTTGAATGTCACAGGGGAATTAAATCTCTGTTGCAATGTGCTGGCTCTGTCACAGGAATGGCAGCAAAGTTAAATTCATTCAAACAGGTTTCGAAGTAAACTAAAAGCTATTAGGAAGGTAGGGTTAATCCGGTTTCACAACATATGTATACAGAGCATACAAGTTGTCATGCATTACACATGTATTCTGGTAACCAGCCTCAGGTACCGTAAACCATGAAATGCAGCTTAGGTCTTGTAAGCTGTGCACTGTGAAAACATAGCAAATAAGCAGAATCAGACAGAACTGACAAATCTGAACCAACATCTAACATGCAGTCATTGGAGTGTGACTGTTTTCTAGATGTGCAACTGTCAACATAGCAAAGGAGTTTCTGAACAGGATGAGGTGAACAGCAATTCTCTACACTCACGGTTATATCAGACACTGTGACTTCATGTTCCTGATTTCTGAAAAGGGGACAGAGGCATGTTTTATAGAAATGTCTTGTCACACTGTTGATACATGGCATCTTTGACAGAACATCCTGTACAGCTAACTATGTACAGCATATATGCTTAGTGGAAGCACAACATTCTTTCATGGAGGGTGTTTTAACTAACCTGACATCTCTTGCAAAAGTAAGACAGCAAAGCACAAAACGTCCAACAAGTTCTCTGAATGTGCTGGGGACCATGTTTGTTTCAGACAATGAAGGAAGTAACCAAGTGGCAACCATTTTAGACTTCATTCTGAATAACAAGGAGGAATTGGTTGCAAATCTGAAGGTAGAAGACAATTGGGAAGTGATCATGAAATGATAGATAGTGAAAGCAGCAGCATGAAGACAATGGACTTCAAAAAAGCAGACTTTAACAAACTCAGAGCGAAAATGTAAGGGAAAAAGAAGTTAAGTAGAAATGGCAGTTTCTCAAAGAGACAATATTAAATGCACAGCACCAAACTATCCAGGTGTGAAGGAAAGCTAGGAAGAATAGTAAGGGGCCAATATGCCTCCATCAGGAGCTTTTTCATGACCTGAAAATCAAAAAAGAATCCTACAAAAAGTGGAAACATGGACAAATTGCTACAGATGACTACAGAAGAGTAGCACAAGGGACAAAATCAGAAAGGCTAAGGCACCAAATGAGTTACACCTAAACATGGACATTAAAGCAGGGTGGGTTATTTAAATTTTGATATTTAAATTATACGTTTTTCTTTTTAAAGATAAACCTGTTTATAATGAAATCTGAAATTAATACAAAATATATTAAGTATATTAAATGTATAATCTCTTAAAATAATTAAATAAAAAAATTAGCATGCTGAATCTCTGTCAAAAACTTTGAGTAAAAGGCTGCTTTTCTATATAAAGAAATTACCAGGTAGAAAACATTTAATTTTTGAGGTCAAGCTTTATAAATATGATACAAGAGTAGTAAATAAGCAAAATATCATTCACTATTTTCTAACATACTAAAAATGTACAATTAATAAGAATCTGAAAATATAAAGTTTCAGAGTAGCAGCCGTGTTAGTCTGTATCTGCAAAAAGAACAGGAGTACTTGTGGCTATTTAGTTGTAAATCAACATGTTTTAATGGTTATATCAACCAATGAGAATGCACCTTTCTTTAGAAAATAAGTAAAATTGATTAAAATGGATTATTTAAATCACGACTTTCCACTTGGTGATTTAGATCAATCTACCCTCATAAAAGGCAATAATAAGAGATTCTATAAATACATTAGGAGCAATAGAAAGACAAGGGAAAATGTAGATCTACTAGTTTGTGGGAAGGAGAGCTAATAACAGATGACATCAAGAGGTGTTTAATGCCTATTTTGCTTCAGTCTTCACTAAAAAGATTAATTGTAACCAGATACTCAATACAATTAATATTAACAACAAGGGGAAAGGAACATAACCAAGAACGGAAAGAACAGGTTAAAGAATAAGTTAGATGTATTTAAGTTTGCAAAGCCTGATGAAATTCACCCTAGGAACTAGCTGAAGCAATCTCAGAACCATTAGCAATTATCTTTGAGAACTCAGGGAGGATGAGTGAAGGACTAGAGAAGAGCAAACATAGTATTTATCATTAAAAAGAGGAACAAAGAGGACTTGGGGAGTTACAGACTTGTCAGTCTGATTTCGATACATGGAAAGATACTGGAACAAATTATTAAACAATCAATTTGTAAGCATCTAGAGGATAACAGAATGGTAAAAATAGCCATCATGGCTTTGTGAAGAACAAATCATGCCAAACCAACATAATCAGTGGATCAGAAGTGAAGCTGTAGACATGATGTATCTTGATTTTAGTAAGGTTTTTGACAGAATCCTATATGACATTCTCATAAGCAAATTAGGGGCAAATAGTCTAGATCAGTGGTTCTCAAACTTTTTTACCCGTGACCCCTTTCACATAGCAAGCCTCTGAGTGCGACCCCCCTTATAAATGAAAAACTCTTTTTTACATATTTAACACCATTATAAATGCTGGAGGCAAAGCGGGGTTTGGGGTGGAGGCTGACAGCTCACGATCCCCCATGTAATAATCTCGTGACCCCCTGGAGGGGTCCCAACCCCCAGTTTGAGAACCCCTGGTCTAGATGAAATTATTACAAGGTGGGTGCAAAACTGGTTAAAAGAATATACTTAAAGAGCATTTATCAAGGGTTTGCTATCATACTGGGTGGACATATCTAGGGGTTCCACCGAGTTGGTCCTGGGTCCGACTTGAATACTTAAGTGAAGAGTACACTTATAAAATCTGTAGATGACACCAAGCTGGGAGGGGTTGCTAGCACTTTGGAGGACAGAATTAGAAGTCAAAATTATCTCAACAAATTGGAGAATTTGTCTGAGATTAATAAGATGCACTTCAATAAAGACAAGTGCGAAGTACTAAACTTAGGAAGGAAAAATCAAATGTGCAGTTACAAAATGGGGAATAACTGTCTAGGTGGTAGTACTGTTGAAAAGGATCTGGGGGTTATAGTGGCTCACAAATTGAACAGGAGTCAACAATGTGGTGCAGTTGCAAAAAAGGCTAATATCATTTTGAACTCTGTTAACAGCAGTCTCAAATGTAAAGCACAGTAGGTAATTCTCCCACTCTACTCAGAACTGGTGAGAGGCCCCAGCTGGAGTACTGTGTCCAATCTGGGCACTATAATTTTGGAAAGATGGACAAACTGGAAAGAGTCCAGAGAAGAGCAACAAAAATGGTGAAAAGTTTAGAAAAACTGATCTATAAGGAAAAGCTAAAAAATCTCGGCATATTTAGACTTCAGAAAACAAGACTGAGCGGGGGACTTGATAACAGGACTGTTATAAAGAAGAGGGTGATCAATTGTTCTCCATGCTCACTAAAGGCAGGACAAGAAGTAATGGACTTAATCCACAGCAAGGGAGATTTAGATATTCGGAAAACCTTTTTAAGTATAAGGATAGTTAAGCTCTGGAATAGCTGCTTAATCATGGTCTGTAATCCTCTGGAATGCCACTTTAAGTCTCTGCCATAGCAGACTCACTGTGGCTAGGAATAAGCATAACTCTTCATGAAGCTTATTTTGGTTCAGACATTAATTTCTCATGTATGTCTAATCTGTTCTGAAATCATCATTTTGTACTTATCCCCAGATTGTGAGGTGCTCAGACACTATGGTCATAGGTGCCATATTAGTACCTAAGATACATAGATAAGCATCTCAGCAACACATGTCTGTCTATTCTAGCACCATCTAGTTAATTCCTAAAATAACTCGCCTCACCAGAGCTTTTGGTGGCCACAGATCATTATAGTGATATATTACAACAGTTAACTTACTCAGCTGTCCATGTAATCTTCCTCCATGGAGATTCCAGGAAGCTGCTAATATCTAGGGGAAAGGAACATATAACATTAAGAGTACGAAGCTATAATTTCCTCAGTAAACATTTTCTCTTTTGATATCAATTTACCTTCAACTCGATACACCTCACATTCCAGAAGGCCTAGATCATTTCCAAGCAGATCAGCAACATTGAATGTGTAGTTGTTGTTAGAACTTGTTGCTGCTGCTGCTGTATTTTGGTCCAACAACTGCAGTGCTCCACCTCCAAAATTAGGGCCACTGGGACTATGGTCATATATAGCAGATGTTGCAGTTTTAACAGGAATTTTTAGTGGGCTGAGCACACCCTCTTTGCCTTTTAATCTAAGGAGAAAAGCCTTCTCATCATTTATGTACTTTCCAGATGAAACATATCACTGACTCGTAAATCCTCCAAAAACATAACCACTTCCGTTATATGCTACTGCTACAGTTGGCCCTTGTGCATCACACTTGGCATGAAATATAGAAGCATTGTAACCATGGATGCTTGCTTTATAGAGAAGACTTAAGCATCTGCTCTCCAACAGATGTTGCAGTTGCTCTTCCTCATCTTGTGTTAATCTAGATTTGACCCCAACCATTCTTCTTAATCTAAAAAGACAGAAAAGATTTTACAATTATTAGTATTACAATAAGAAAAATGTATTATTATTTTTAACTCAACTCAACTCACCAAAGATGGAAGGTAGTGGTGTAGTGGTGAAGGCCCTGTGTTCCCCATGGAAGAAAGAGGCATGACAGTAAGTCATTATCATCATTATTATTATTATTGGTTGTATTCCAGGGCTATCTAGAGTCCCCAACTGAGGTCAAGGCCATATTGTATGAGGCACTGTCCACACACATAGTTAGAGACAGTCCCTAACCGAAAAAGCCTACCGTCAAAATAAACAAGACAGACAAATAGGGGAAGAAAGATAATGTTAGCCCCATTTACACATGGGGGAAATGAAGCAGAAAGAGCCAGCATAGCTTCATGGATTTCACAGCAAAACAATTTTTCTACCTGAATGGAGAAAAAATATTCTTAAAACGTATGGCCCAATTGTGTTGCCTTTACTCAAGCAAAACTCCTACTGACTTCAATCCAGATCAGGCCCATTTTATTGAAATGGTCAAAACTTTCATACTGTGACCTGATTCTAATCTTACTTACACTGGATAACTCCACTGACTTCACTAATTTATGGTGGTGTAATGAGAGCAGATACACATTCATTGTCTCAGAAACATAGTTCCTACTTTATGGAGTGAATTTTTTTCCTCTTTCCAAGAACAAAATAATGGCTATACTGGGTCAGACCAATGGTCCATCTAGCCCGGTATCCTATCTTCTGACAGTAGCTTGTGCCAAATGCTTCAGAGGGAACAAATAGAACAGAGGAATTTTGAAGCTTCTGGCATTTTGGAGGTTTAGGGACACCCAGAGCATGTGGTTGTATCCCTGACCATCTTTGTTAATAGTCATTAATGGAACTATCCTCCATGAACTTATTTAATTCTTTTTTGAACCCAGTTATACTTTTGGCCTTCACAACATCTCCTGGCAACGACTTCCACAGGTTGACTGTGCGCTATGTAAGGAAGTACTTATTTTTATTTGTTTTTAACCTGCTACCTATTAATTTTATTAGGTGACCCCTATTTGTTGTGTGATGTGAAGGGGTAAATAACACTTCCCTATTCACTCTTTCCATACCATTCATGATTTTATAGAACTCTATCATATCCTCCCTTAATCATCTCTTTTATAAACCAAACAGTCCCAATCTTATTAATCTCTCTTCATATGGAAGCCGTTCCATACCCCTAATCATTTTTGTTGCCCTTCTCTACACCTTTTCCATTTCTCATATCTTTTTTTGAGATGGGATGACCAGAACTACATATAGTATTCATGGTGTAGATGTACCATGGATTTATATAATGGTATTATGATTTTCTGTTTTAATATCTATCCTTTTCCTAATAGTTCCTAACATTGTTAGCTTTTTAGACTGACAATGCACATTGAGTGGATGTTTCAGAGAACTATCCACAATGAAACCAACATCTCCCTCTTGAGTGGTAACAGCAAATTTAGATTCCATCATTTTGTATGCATAGTTGGAATTATTTTTTCCAATATGCATTACTTTGTACTTATCAACACTGAATTTCATCTGCCCGTTTTTACCCAGTCACCCAGCACCAATCCCACTATAGATCCTTAGAAGAATCCCTGTTTACCTCCCTCCATTTTGACAACTGACAATTTATTCCTTCCTTTTTTTTCCTATCTTTTAACCAGTTACTGATCCAATAAAGGACCTTTCTTCTTATCCCAGGACTGCTTAATCTGCTTAAGAGCCTTTGGTGAGGGACCTTGTCAAAGGCTTTCCGAAAGTCCAAGTACACTATATCAACAGAATCACCCTAAAATAAAAGGTAGCCATCTTATAGCAAAAAAACTTCAGGACCAGACTCCAAAGAGAAACTGCTGAGCTTCAGTTCATTTGCAAATTTGACACCATCAGATCAGGATTAAACAAAGACTGTGAATGGCTAGCCAACTACAGAAGCAGTTTCTCCTCCTTGGTGTGCACACTTCAACTGCTAGCAGAGGACCTCACCCTCCCTGATTGAACTAACTTCCTTATCTCCAGACTGATTCTTGCCAGCATATTTATACCTGCCCCTGGAAATTTCCATTACATGCATCCAACAAAGTGGGCATTCACCCACGAAAGCTTATGCTCCAATACATCTGTTAGTCTTAAAAGTGCCACAGGACCCTCTGTTGCTTTTTACAGGATCACCCTAGTTCACATGTTGTTGTTTTTTTGACACCCTGAGAGAATTCTAAGAGATTGGGGCTGCATGATTTCCCTTTACAAAAGCCATGTTGACTCTTCCACAGTATATCATGTTCATCTATTAATTCTGTTGTTTAGTATAGTTTCAATCAATTTGCCTCGTAATGAAGTTAGGCTTACCAGCCCAAAATTGTGAAGATTGCCTCTGGAGTCTTTTTTAAAAATAGGCATTACATTAGCTGCCCTCCAGTCATCTGGTACAGCGGCTGATTTAAGTGACAAGTTACATGCCACAGTTAGTAGTTCTCCAATTTTATATCTGAGTTCCTTCAGAACTCTTGGGTGAATACCATATGGTCCTGGTGACTTTATTACTATTTAATTTATCAATTTATTCCAAAACCTCCTCTAATGACATATCCATCTGGGACAGTTCCTCAGATTAGTCACCTAAAAAGAATGGCTCAGATATGGTGGTTTCCCCCATATCCTCTATAAAGTATTCATTTAGCTTCTTGGCAATGGCTTTGTCTTCCTTGAGTGCTCCATTAGCACCTCAGTCATTCAATGGTCCCACTGACTGTTTGGCAGGCTTCTGATGGACTTAATAAAAATTGCTGTTAATTTTTATGTCTTCAGCTAGTTGCTCTTCAATTTCTTTCTTGGCCTGCCTTATTATACTTTTACACTTGACTTGCCAGCGTTTATGCTCCTTTCTATTTTCCTCACTAGAATTTGACTTCCATTTTGTAAAGGCTACCTTTTTGCCTTTAATGGCCTCTTTTACTTTAGTCACGGTGGTACTTTTGGTTCTTTTCCACTGCCTTTTTTTTTTTAAATTGGGGTATACATTCAATCTCAGCCTCTATTATGCTATTTTAAATAGTCTCCTGTGAAAAACAGGGCACCCCAATCTTCTTTCGGGGCACAATACAGATAAGGAAAAACAGGGTTGACACCTTCATGCACATACACAGAGTTAGTTGCAGTCAGAATCCCAAGATTGGGTAAAATTGGATATACCTCCAGGGCAAATCCCAGCAGGAACCATCCCTCTACTGATAATGAATTGGCAAGGCATCCATCAGACCCTAAGAATATTGTTGAGGATGTGAGTATGACTACAGTTATAATAATTGCATGGGTATTTACAGGATTTCTATATCATCAGTAATTGTAACTTTACTTATTGATTTAATAAAATATGTAAAACAGACTAGACCTTGTAGTAGTGAATGTATGTGTGGTCACTATTCTTGGTGGTGGTGGTGGTCTCTTTTTCAGTGAGGTATACCTTTAGGCAATTTGGAGCTGCCTATATTGGATATCAAAGTCCTGAGTATCATGTCAGAAGGTATATACACCATTTTATTATTCTTCATTATAGAGATAAAAAAGAAATATAAAACTTTACTCTTTCAGTCCTTTATCTGTAAATATGCAAACTTTCAAGATCACTCACGGCTTAATTTCATATTAACAAATCTCTGAATGGCACCGTGCATACACTTAGCTTGGAAATGTACAATACATACTGTCCTGTATGAATATTCTTGTCTTGTTTCCAACTTGGAAAGTTTAAAAGAACATTCTTCACAAGATTTCCAAAGTATTCCTCTGTCCAAATATATTAGAATGATGGGACAGAAAATATGAAGCTCTACATTCTACTATTGGGATGGGAGTGCTTCCTAAACACACTATGCTCCCTGCTTATCAAGATGAGCTAAACTTAACACTTGATGTTTTGGGTACATGCAGAATGACTTATCTTTCAATGGTAAGCCAATAATTTCTCTGCTGTCTATACAAATATATTGCCCTGAATAGGATGATCCAGGATTCAGTAATTACCATTACAATCTTAGGAATATTTAGTTTAGAAAAGCCCATTAGAATTAGAATTACAGTAGAACCTCAGAGTTACGAACACCAGAGTTTTGAACTGGCCAGTCAACCACACACCTCCTTTGGAACCAAAAGTACGCAAACTGACTGCAGAAGAGACCAGTTAAAAATATATTTATATATAGTACTGTGTTAAACGTAAACTACTAAAAAAAGGGGGGGGGTTAAAAAGATTTGACAAGATATGAAAACTTTCTGTGCTTGTTCGGCATTTTTCTTCTTCATAGTAAAGTTTCAAAGCTGTATTAAGTCAATGTTCACTTGTAAACTTTTGAAAGAACAACCATAACGTTTTGTTCAGAATTGCCAACATTTCAGAAAAAACAACAAGGAGTCCTTGTGGCACCTTAGAAACTAACAAATTTATTTGGGCATAAGCTTTTGTGCGCTAAAACCCACTTCATCAGATGAATGGAGTGAAAAATACAGTAAGCAGTATAAATATTACAGCACATGAAAAGATGGGAGCTGCCTTACCAAGTGGGGAGTCAGTGCTAATGAAGCCAATTCAGTTAAGGTGGAAGTGGCCTATTCTCAACAGTTGACAAGAAGGGGTGAATATCAAGAGAGGGAAAATTACTTTTGTAGTGCTAATGAGGCCAATGCAATCAAGGTGTAATATTTATACTGCTTACTGTATTTTTCACTCTATGCATCTGATGAAGTGGGTTATAGCCCACGAAAGCTTATGCCCAAATAACTTTCTTAGTCTCTAAGGTGCCACAAGGACTCCTGGTTGTTTTTGCTGATACAGACTAACATGGCTACCACTCTGAAACATTTCAGAGTTACAAATAACCTCCATTCCCCAGGTGTTCGTAACTCTTGAGGTTCTACTGTACTTGAAAGTTCTCCATCTAACCTGTAGGTGGAGCTATAGTGTTATGGTTCACACATTCACTGATTGTGTCCCAAATGCCTAGTTTCAACCTATGCTTCAAAGCTGAAGTTACCCTGAATAAATCAAGATTTACATTACTGTAACGTGCCTATAGGTATAACTTGAACCAGAACTTATATAGTACCATATTCACACTTCTGAATCCACATTGAAGTCACTGGTGTTACACCAGCAGAACTCACAAGCAGATTTTTGCCCTTCTGTGGGTATTAGTTAAAGGGATGGAAGGGGGAGTATTTTACTACCCGTCTTGTGGTTATATCACAAACTGACAGGTTCTGGCACTCAGTGGCCAGAGTTACTGTCCATCGCTGCTGAATGCCAACTTCCCCCAGGTCTCTGTAGCAGAGGCTTTGCTAACATGTTCCGTGTGAAACGAAGAGATTTCTTTTAAACAGTGCTTTTAGCTAAGAGGTGATGTTATGGAACAAGGGAATCCAGAATATGATTGATGTTATTTTCACCTCATTGGTAGCTGGCACAACTCTCTCATTCTGGCTCTTCAATCACGACACTTCCTCCTTGCTCAGCACAGCTAACATACAGATGGCTTTCTGAAGCATGGCCTGGGATATATGCAGGACTCCACTGGCTAAAGTGATCAATATCTGGTTTAACTAGCCTCTGGTCTGATCTGAAACACATAACTTAGCGTTTTGATAGCAAGAATTGCTTCAACCAAGTTATGATGCAGGTGTAAAAGCTAGCAAAGGGAAATGAGATCATCTTCTAACTCATGACACCAGCTACAATTTAGAGCATAGCATCATAGAAAGAGAAATTTTCCAACCGCAGCCTGCCAGCACTTAAAAACCAAACCTTCTCTCGATCCTTCTTAACATTTTAAGACATAACATACATACATATATATTTATATATATGCTCTCTCTCTCTTTATATATATATATATATGCTCTTACCGTGATAGCTCTTCAGTTGGGAAAGATTAGGACAGAGAAGAAATGAAATTGAAAGTCAAACATTTACAGCCCTGCCACCAGTAGCAAAGCAGCCAGTGTTGTTGAATTTCTCCTGTCAGCTCCTATAAACTTACCAGCTCAGAGACTGTTCAGCTAAAACATAAAAGAAAGGTGGTGTGATCTCCAGCTTCCAGTGAAAGCCAGTGCTACGGGGAACACGCATGGTGTAATAAGGAAAGCAAAGGGTTAAACTTTGAAATAAATAAAGAGTTATTGCAAAGTATTGTTTAAAAGTAAAGGTTTTGTGGGTGAAATCTTGGCTCCATTGAAGTAAATGGACGCTTTGCTATTGACTTCAGTGCCAGGATTTCACCTTGCAAGTGCTAAATAGGGTGCAAATCGCAATGGCATAACTGCTCACTGGCACTGCTCAGGTGTCGACAATGGGCAGGGCAGTAGAGAACCAGGCTATCCAGTCTCTGTAAATGCAATGAAAGGTTTTGAATTTCCTTTCTCAGGTAGATTTTCAATTAAAAACCATGGTTTGGCCCTTTGTGATAAGAGGCAGGATTTTGTCTGAAAGCTTCATAGTCCAGTGGTGCTGTTTTCATGTGTAGTGGGGCGGCTGCCCCACTCCTAGAGAATTTAGGCTGCAGCAGACCAGTGGGCGTGCGCAGAGAGGGTAGCCAATCACAGAAGGGTTTACTGGGACCAATCAGGGCCCAGGTTGGAGACAGCCAATCAGGGCCAGGCTCAGCCCTATAAAAGTCTGCACAGGGAGAGAGCAGGCAGTCTGTCCCAGGCCTTCGAGAGGGAAAGGTCTATCTCCAAACTGGGAGACTAGCACCGTGGATGGCACAGTGCTGCCCAGGCTCAGGGAGCAGAGGGGAGCTCTAGCCTGAAGCCTGCCAGGCTGCAGGCCCTGAGTGAAAGGGCCTAGCGGGTGCAAGGGGCCGTAGGGGAAGCGGCCCAGGGAAGCGGACAGATGAGGGGAGAGTAGGAGGACAGCGAGGCTGCTGCCAGAGGGTCCCTGGGTTGGGACCCAGAGTAGAGGGCGGGCCTGGGTCCCCCCCTACCCCGTTGCAGTACATCTAGCCATTGGCTGTAGGGAGCGGCCAGTTCAGACCACGCCAGATCCCTGATGGGAGGGATTAGACGAGGAGACTGCTGATTGACACACCCCCCCCAGAAGGGGGTGTGGAAAGACAGAGGGGCACTGCCGGAGGGCAGTGGTCCCGAAGAGGACGCTGCAAGTTGATGAGCGACGAGGGCTCAGACACGCCAACTGAGGGCGAGACGACGGACGGGACACCACCAGGAGGGGCGCTCCACTGGAACAACCAGTAGGAGGCGCTGCGGTGGTGAGTCCCAACCCCGTTACATCATGGTATGCATTTGAACTTTGCAGTTGAAAGCTAGACCCTTCTCTAACACTGGGGCAGTAAGAGGCAGCATAATTCTGTCCAGGGAAGGCTGGGAGAGTCCCCAGTCCATTGAAACCTCACACCCACGCTGAACGCCTACTGGAAATAGCATCATCTTTTTAAATACTATATTCTCAGGTGAAGGGAAAGATCAGGAAGGCTTGGTTGGGGCAGGGTTCTCCAGAAGCCAAGCACAGCCATACCTGCTGACAGGAACTGTGTGAGACAGGGGCCTGCAAGCAGGGGAGAGTCTGGCACCCATTTCCCCTGTCCATTTCCCACAATGCCAATGCACATCAGGGGCGGGTTTCCCTGGCTCTCCCTGTCCCGCTCTCCCTTTGTTCCTCCCACTTGCTCACTCTCTTGTACACAGAGAGTGGAGAAGAGGGTGGGAAAGGAGCAGAAAGAGAGAGGAAGGACCTGAGCAGAGCAGATCCTGAGGGCAAGGTATGGAATTCAAGGAGGCAGGAGAGGCAGTGAAGGAGGAAATGGAAGAGTAGAGGCTGTTCAGCTGAGCCAGCTTACCTTTCTGGACACAGAAAAAAAAGAGAGAAGACTGGTTGGGGGCAGGGGGAGAGGTTCAGGCAATTTTTACTTACCCAATGTTCCTTCCCCTGGTTCAGGCTTACCCAGGCTCGACTGTTGGGACTGACTGGACAGCAGTGGAGTCTTGAAGAGTCCGGCAGCTGCTGCAGTGGACTGGCTCACAACATAGCTGGACCTATCACATGTCCCCCATCCTCCTCCTCCTTGTCCTCACTGTTCATGTCAGGGACCTGTGACTTTTTTTTGGCAAAAGTGGCCGTTTGTCCCGTTTGCACTTTGCCAGCTGATGTTGATCAATTGGCAAGAGCAAATGAGACAAGTGCCTATTTTTGCCAAAAAAGTGGGGTGTGCACCTCTAGCAGGGCACAGAGAAGTGAGAGGGGTGAGCAGCAAGGCCAGCCCTGTGGGGACAGGGGACAGGGCTCCAGCAAGTAGGGATGCCAGCCACGTAGGGAGATAGGCAGGGCTCAGGCGAACAGCAATACAAGCCCCACGCAGGGAGCAGGCTGGGGTTGGACAAGAGCCCTGCACATGGGGGAAGCAGGGCTCAAGCCAGCGACTCGAGGGGCGGGGGGGGGGGGGGCGGGGAGAAGGGGGAGCAGAGTATGGGCCAGCTCCATGTGTGTGGGGGAAGGGGAGGCAGGGAATAGGCCAGCCCCACATGCAGGAGGGGAGGATGCAGGGCTTGTGCAAGTAGCTTGGGCCAGCCCCACGTGGTGTTCAATTTTCCCTTTGGGAAATATGGTCACCCTATCCCTATGCCCTTCATCTCCTGAACTTTTGTCCTGTGAGGCTAGAAATATCTGACAAATTCAGCAGAGAAGACAAGTGGGCTGAGAAATCAGAGGGCTTAATCCCATACTCCTCGTTCACCACAAATCTCTGATCAGGGCCAGCTCCAGGCACCAGCGCAGCAAGCAGGTGCTTGGGGTGGCCAACGGAGAGGGGCGGCACGTCCGGCTCTTTGGAAGAATGATGCAGTGGTGGTAGAGCTGCCGCCGAAGTGCCGCCGATCACGGTTTGGGTTTTTTTTACCGCTTAGGGTGGCCAAAACGCTGGAGCCAGGCCTGTCTCTGATCAAACTCAGTGGGGCTTTAGCTAGAGGAAAGGCGGTAGGACCAGTAGGTGAGTTTCCGTAGGTTGCAAAGTTTCATAACAAGAGCTGAAAAGCCTTATGTCATTAATACCAAGTATCAATTTTAGCAATTAATACCCTGCAATTCCCTGATTTACCTAGAATAAATTGGCATCAGATTTACCTGCCAATGAGTCAATCACATGACTATTTTTACCATATTTGCCATAAATGGTTGTGTGGTCTTCTCTGCACTTGGATTTGGGAACTTTAAGGCTAAGACTGGTGAAAGCAAGAGCACAAGACAATTTAAGAAATAAACATCCTCTACGTTCCTTATATAATATCAACAACAGGATCAGTTGGTTAGGTAAGAAGCTGTTGGCGGTACATGACTGGTTTATAGTTGCAGTAATAAATTATTCTCTTACTTTAATACCAGCCTGTACCCACAGCTCTTTATAGTCATGCAAACAAGTTACAATTAACTACTGTCAAACATTAAGAATGGAGTAATAACAGTGAACCTTTATTAATGTTTTGGAATATATTGTTTCTATCAAAACCAATAGTAAAAGTTAAAAAAACTAATGATAATGTGGAAATTGGTTTTAAACCAAAATGCTTACTTGACTTTTGTTTATCTTTACTTAGCCATGATTTTTCCATGATGCATCACAATAGTTCTTACTTAGTGTCCCCATTGGTCTGGTAAGAAAATTTTAAATATAAGTAAGATAAGTGTAAGCTGGGGTCGATAAAGTCAAAAAAGACAATGAAGATGGTTAAAGCAGCAGTGGGAATTTCAATGGCTCCAACTCTGCAAATAGATCCCCATGCACAGACCCCATGCACAGACTTCTACACAGAATCTCATTGAAATCACATGAGATCCCCATAAAGAACAGAGATGCCGTGGTAGAACTAGGGTGAATGAGAGATGCAGAAACAAAGATACATGACCTGGAAAAGAAAGGAACTAGCAAGGACTTGAACAAGGTATCCAGAATGGAATGGTGCCATGAAAACTGACCAGCGTCTCCGTTTGCACAAATTAAAAGAACAGGGTGGCACTAACACTAGTAAAGTCAGAAGACGTGAAAGGAAGTACTACTTCACAGAACACACAGTCTCTTTATAGAATTCACATCAGCAACTCAAGTACTGTGGATAGATTCAGTGAATTTATAATATTTGTAACTATGCCACCTAAAGGCAATCGAATTTCATGCTTTATGGTCTAAAATAACTTCAGGGATTAGGAAGGAAGTTTTCCCCAGGTAAGTGATATATAATTGGTCAGTTGCATAAATTATGATGGGCACTGGCAATTTCCAGATACATTACCATATTTCACAGAATAGTGGCTTCATCTAGCTGGACAGATATTCTCTTCCTTTGATCCAAGATTCTTCTATGATATTCCCTGGAACATATTCTATATATTCAAGATAGCTATTCCTGAGACACCTATTTCATTCTCCTTAATACCCTATTTGACTATCCAGTAATTTTACTAGCATTCTGGGAATGGTATTGTATATTCCAAATGCCTTTTTATACTAAGTATATAAAAGTAACATTGCCAATAGTATATTACCAGGTTGAGAATGAGAATCAATAAAAAGTGCCCAAATGTGCAGTCAATTCAGCTCACATGTACCATTAATAATACTGTAGTATATCAACTTCATCTACCCTTGCTGGGAAGTAAATTAACAAAATAACTTAGAATTTCACCATTCTATTCAAAGCACTTTCTTTAAATTAGTGGCAGTAAGAATAAAGTTCAGATTCAAAACACTAATAGTGTTTAAATCATAGATCTTTATTCAATTTAATGCTCAATTAGAAGGTTACAAAAAATGTTTGCAAAGGCAAGTTGCAGTCCTATTCTAGAGTACTGTACCTATCATTTGTGATAGGTTCCCCCCACCTCTCAAATACATTTTCTCAGGTACAGAACATGTTGCATTTTCCAATTCCTTTCCCTCTACTTCAAGTTTCATTTAATCCATCATTGACAGCTTTGTTTCGTGGTAGGCAAGAAGCCATTTTGGCTTCTCTTTGCCCTCTGGCTGTTCTCAGTCTGATTCATTATTTTGCAGATATAAAAGAAACATCATAGGTGAGTCAAGATACTATTCAAAAGATCCTTCTACCAAAAAAAAATAATCA